CGTCGCTGTATGCTCTAATGAATGACGGCAAACTTTACACATATGAATGTAAACAAATGATGCGACACTCCTAATTTAACACCCAGACCTTCCTCATTCCTGAGCAGTTTTCTGGAAAACGACCCATTATCAGCCAAGGATCATGTATGATATCCATCAGTCATACATACATTGAGTTTTGAGCAGCTGTTTGTTCAGATTACTTTGTTGCTGATATATAAAAAATAAATTGTACTATCTGCTGTTCAGCCCTTTGTTTCAGGTTTGGAACTTTCTTCCGGATGGTCGCTTTTCCCCCAGGATTTTTCCCAGCTGGAAGAAAACGTTTCTTCCAGGAAAAACTTGGAAGGTCAAATTAACTGAAAAGTTTTGTTCACTAAGGTGGGGTTCAATATCTATAAACCAGGGTGGTTTGGGAGGATGAATAGCAGGAGAAATTAAAGAAAAAGAAAACCAGCTGTTCTAATCTGAGTATAAAAGAAAACTGTTCATACCATCTAAAGGCTATTAGTAAATTCATTCATATATTAATTCATCGAGATTTGTATTACATACACGTTATAAATGATATAAATTCTTAATTTATGTCACTGTGTGTATTTTACAAGGATTTCTCCTTATGTAGCCTGGTGGATATAGTGAGTTGACTTTTCAATGGAACTATCCCAGTTAACCAAAATATGATCCATTACCACAACTTCCCGTTTCTTCTACTTGTCCAGAAGAGACTCAACCCAGCTTTGTTTCAAAGCACCTTATAAATAGTTCTTATTATTGTTATTTTAGCCTGTGACGCCTTGGCTGAATGGGGACCTGAAACATGAACGAGGCATGTGGCGATTATCTGCAACTTCATGCCCAGTGTAAAGTACGGAGGAGGATCTATGTAGCCTGACGTAGTCCGACTCAATTCTAGTCAGAATATGAGTCTGATACTGCTCCATAGAGCTGTGATTATGGGGCGTGTTTTGAACGAACCAGGAAAAAAATGCCTCTGCACTCAATTGGATAGACCTACAACCAATAAGAGCAACGGAGTGCGTGACGTATCTTAAGCGAGGCATAGTTGTTGTCCACAAAAATCAAAGCGTGCAGTTCCACGCCTAGAATAAGAAGATGAGACTTGATCGCGTTTCTCTGTTCCTCTTTTAAAATTAATTTGCTGTCGATATCTTCTAGAACAGACCTAATAGCAGAATCTACTCACCCAAACTCTCCAGCGGCAGCCATTATTGTTGTCACCCTAGCGCGCTTTGGTCACGTGGTTGATTACGTTACTGTTGATCATCTGTCCATCATCGTATAAAGCCCGCCCTGACAATTTGATTGGATCGCCTGACAGTGGGCTTTAATACTCGCGCTACTATGGAGCAGAGCCAGACCGAACTTCTCCGAACTCAAACCTTGTGGGCGGGACTAAGTTCGGACTGGCACCCAGGCTAGGATCTATGATGCTCTGGGCCTGTTTCTCATCCCAAAACCATTAGAACCATGTTAGAGAACACTGCATCAACAATCATTGGACCAGGAGATTTTAGAATGAAAACCCAGCAGACTGGAATAAATCCTTTCTACAGGACACAGATCCAAACACAGAGTTGCTCTATAAGGCACTGAATCTCATCCCCCAGACCTGAATCTTACAGCAATAGTCAGTCCTCATGGCTTTTGCATCTCTGCTTCTGTCTCCTTGAACCCCAGTCGGCCTCAGCAGATGGCCGCTCACACTGAGCCTGGTTCTGCTGGAGGTTTCATCCTGTTAAAAGGGAGTTTTTCCTCTGCAATGTCGCTACAAGCTCGCTTAGTGTAAGAGATTACCCCGAGTCAATGAATCGATACAATCAACTGATTTCCCTTAGGTAGAAAACTTTGAATCAATTGACTGTATGTATGTATAATCTGGTGAACTGTAAAGTGCCTTGAGATGACGTGTCATGAATTGGCGCTATATAAATAACCTGAATTGAATTGAAATTGAATGAAGGATAACCTAACCTCTGACCTCTAACCTTTAGAGTGACCTTGATGTGTCGCTTTAATTTTTAAGTGGACTTGGCCAACACATATTTTTTAGTTTTTATTTCTGCCCGAGTCTTCCTTTGTTAGTTCATCACAGTATGGAAGTGCTCTGCAAAACTGGCATCAGAAATACCAGTAGATGAGTCTTAATCGCCCAGACTAGTACTAGCAGGAGACATGCTGGTCTGTCATGCTGTTTGCCATAAAAAGTGCAGTAAAACCTGACATTATCTAAAGAAGGGTGTCGTTATTAATTGAACGCCAACATGAGCTGTGTGAGTTGCTCATTATTCTCAGAGTCAACGTCGCTCTGGTTCACGTTCATTGCTTCAAAACTGATCCATTCAGTTCACCGTTCACTAAAAATATGAACGTATTCATTGAACTCCATTCATTGGACGCGTTCATGAACAACACCTTATACCTTAAAGGAGAAGTTCGGTTTTTTACACTTTAAGCCCATTTTCTGTAGTGTCCAGGATGAAATCGAATGATCGACACCAAAAGTTTGACAATTGGTCCTGTCTCTGCTTTTTGGCTCATTTAGATCAACCCCTGGCTGCTTTATAATGGCTAGCATAGAGCATGTCCGATAATGTCCTTAAAACAACCTTAAACGTTCTTTTTTTTAAATATGCTACTCACCGGGTCGTCAGCGCTGTTCAATGACGTTCCAAAAAAATTTTCGTAAAGAAAAAACGTTCCTGTAGTGTTTTATTTAGCATTTTGTAAATCCCATTGAGTTCTGTTGGAATAGTCAATATTCCCCTGCCACCGGAAACGGAAATGGGGCCTGTTTACACAGTTGTAGTCTTTTCGCTTCACTCTGTGTACTCCGACGTCGAGGTGCTAACGTCTCTGTTAAACACTTTAAAAAACTCTGAAAATGGAATATGAAAGGTGGATTCTTGATTCTCGACGTCGGAGTACACAGAGTGAAGCGAAAAGACTACAACTGTGTAAACAGGCCCCATTTCCGTTTCTGGTGGCAGCGGAATATTGACTATTCCTACAGAACTCAATGGGATTTAAAAATGCTAAATAAAACACTACAGGAACGTTTTTTCTTCACGAAACTTTTTTTGGAACGTCATTGAACAGCGCTGACGACCCGGTGAGTAGCATATTTAAAAAAAAGAACGTTTAAGGTTGTTTTAAGGACATTATCGGACATGCTCTATGAAAGCCATTCTAAAGCAGCCAGGGGTTGATTCTAAATGAGCCAAAAAGCAGAGACAGGACCAATTGTCAAACTTTTGGTGTCGATCATTCGATTTCATCCTGGACACTACAGAAAATGGGCTTAAAGTGTAAAAAACCGAACTTCTCCTTTAACAGGGACTCATAAAATCCAAAACATTGAATATTAAGAGATGATTGATAACACAAAATTATTTTTCTAACTTATTTTCCAGTGCTGTTGGATTAAGGGTTCCAACCAAACGAACAATATCTGGGACTGGTGATGTCAGAAATATTTTTTTTTTAAATGGTTAGCTTTTCTAATTTATCTCAGTTTGAAATTATGCTGCTGCAGTTAAACAAACCTTCATTTTATTTTTTTTTAACCTGAGAAGGGAAAAATGGGCTCCCTGTGCATGATGTCCATGATCATACTGATTCTGAGTCATTTAGTTAGATACAGATAAACCATTCGCAGCACTTCAGAACATATTAAATCAGTGCTGGAAAAATCTAGCATTAAGTATAGTAGTTCAGAGCTCCTAATGGATCCAGGGTTTGACTGAAAATGTAAGCTTTACTGCTTGTTTTAGGCAGTTGTAATAAGTCTGTTAGCGACATACTAATATAAGCTACTACTAATGGTCTTTGAGCCAGGTGCTAAGGAGCTTTGGTTTGAACTTTTAAAGTTATAACAATCTTTATTTAAATATGTTCTAAAACATGATTGGTAGTTTAATTTTTTATGTGTTTTCTGAGCCACTCATATTGAACTGCTAAAAATTAGCCAATCATTCTTTAAAAGGAGCTAAAATGGCCTCATTAGCAGCTAATCCCAATATCCCCAACTGTTAGTCATTGTCTAAACATAGCTAGTTTTTTCAATCAACAATTGTTCTGATACCCTACTAGCATTCGTATACATGTTAATAGTAATAAAAGAGGTTTTTAGGGTATCCTAAAAACGTTTTAATAACCTAAAACTGTTTAATTTCTACATTTGTCCCGGTTTTAGCTAAGTCGCTAACCAGGAGGGGACGATATCAAGCTGAGCCATTCAGATCTACATCTTCATCTGACCATTAATGGGCCTAATTAATAATAATAATAATTGTTTAATTATCATAAATCTTTTTTTAAAGCTGCAATTTGCATTAGGAATTTGTTGAAAAACGGACTAACAATTGATGCTCCAAATTAGCTTTGAAGCTAATTTGCCCTCACTCCTTTAGGGACCTTAAAGATAAACCTTCACACTGAACTATGGTGTCCCAGCTGGCGTGATGATTTTCAACATCAGTTTAAGTAAAACTTCCCCATTTTTGTTCAATGATAGACTAAAATATGTTTAAATCTGAGCTTAAGTGTTTCTGTAAATAAATTATTTTATTTTGAAGACAGGCTGTTGTGAATTTATTCTATATGTATGCAGAGCTTTCATCTATTTCCCTAATATCAAAACCATATCCCACAGATGGCGAGTAATTGTTTTGAAAACTTCAATGCATTGCAATAAAACAACACTATGGGATGCGTTTCTGGAAAGTGGAAATAGTAGCAAGTTCTTATGGGTGAAGCTAAATATAAAACAAACCTGGATTGATCTTTTATAGGCCCAATAAGACTAGATTGACATGGAATGGCCTAGTCAAAGCACTAAACAATATTCTACTTAAAATCTGGGGAAATACTTCTGCTATCTATCCAATTTGACGGAGCTTAAGCTATTTTACAAAGAAAAGCAACAAATGTTAAGTACAAAATGGGCGCATAGCTTAACAGTATGAACATGTGCTTACGATGAACTGCTCCACGTCTCTCTCCATGCCAACGTTGGGAAGGTCCGGCATCATGTGAGCAACAACTTTAAACCCGGCGTCCTTTGCCAGTTGGAAAGACTCACACACAGCTCGCACTGTGTGGCCTCTGCAGAAAGGAGAAACACACAGAAAACCTGCCTGGATTATTTCATCGCAGTAAAAACTGCTATGGTTCCGACCGACAGCTAACCTGTTGGTGTCTCTAGCCACATCCTCATAAACACTCTGCACTCCTATCTCCAGCCGGGTGCAGCCGTAGCTCAGCATGTCGCTGAGGTGGCGCTTCAGGCAGTAGTCTGGCCGCGTCTCTATGGTGATTCCCACGCACTTGGTGTTGCTGCGCTCCGAGTACCTGCAGCAGCAGAGAGGCAGAGATTGTTGGCGTCACTTGGGCCAGTTTCACTTCTCCACCATTGTGTCTGTGGATGGCTTTCTTCCTGCAACATGCTAATGGCTTTTTAATTTGACCCAATGAGAATGTATATCAGAAGGTTGGAAGAGAACAAAACATATGGGAGGCATCATTTAGCAACGACGATTTGCATGCTGTAAATTAAAACGGCTCATTACCCAGATAGTTAACACTAACCTCACATTAAAGACACATTAATGCTAGAGATATGGAAGACACAACTTTTAAAAAGTTAAATAAGACATTTTGGGGAGAGAGGGGGGGTCCATTTTTATTTAAGTCAATTCATTATTTGGTGCCTTATTCAGTTAAATATGAACAAAGGCTAAAATCATACCATTTCAACTGTCAGGGTCATGCAGGCTACGGTGCATGAACAGGTGAAGGGTGTCTTTAGAGTTTGTTACAGTGTTAGCCAGTGTTGTATAGTAACGAAGTAAAAATACTTCACTACTGCACTTAAGTATATTTTGGAGTACTTTATACTTTCCAAGAGTATACATTTTTTTGAGAACTTTCACTTTTACTTCACTACATTTACGAACTTAATTGCAAACTTTTACTCCGATACATTTTCAATGTCTGGTTTAGTAACTAAGTTAAAAAAAACAAACAAGCGAGAGCGCGAGAGAAACGCAAGTGTTTTGACTCCGCCTACTGATTACAAAGTCAGGTCTTGTTCATCAACACCAATAGAATACGCCTGTTTCGCAAAGCCACTCTAAATTTATCCTACACTTGGTTGTTTATATTATTATAAGTGAATTTAACCCTTCAACGTTTACCAAAATGTAAAAACAATGTAATTCAAACTGCACTTACTTTTTACTTATACTTTTCACTACATTACTATAGTACATCTATTTTTACCGTAATTCTTATACTTAAGTACAAGCCATTTCAGATACTTTAAGACTTTTACTCAAGTAACCTTTCAGTCAGTGACTTGGACTTTTACCAAAGTCATATTTTGGAGAGGTACTTATACTTTGACTTGACTCCGAGATTTCAGTACTTTATACAACACTGATGTTAGCACAGTTTTACTTAGCTGGGCTTGGCTTAGCTTGGCTAGGCTCTCAGAGTTGTAATGCCCAGACTATAAAGTAAAAATCAGGATGTTTTTTTTGGAATTGCATGTTTTCCAGACACCAACAAAACATTTACTTTTTTCCCCAACCACAAAACTTCAACTGAAACTTTTTATAGAGGCATTTGAGAATCAGAAGCAAGTGAAAAAACATCCGAAGAGTGAATTTTGCACAACAGATCCCTTTGCAAACACCGCAATAGCGAAATGACCAGAATGTTAGCCTTTCTTTCTTGTTTTGCACATTTGTAATTGAAATGCATTTGACTCCAAGTCACAAAGTTAAACCCATTTTGTACTCAAAGCTACTTTCTGCTGAAATACATGACTTATTGAAGTCACATAAGCACTTTTCCTTACAGCAGACCCTAATAAATGACTTTATGGGATTTGTTACTAATAATATTAATTCTTTAAAAAATAAGATCATTAGCAACCCTCGAAATATGATTGGTTTAACTCCGGAAAGTGAGCAGCATCAGAAGTAGCCATAGAATCTGAAACGTGTTTAGACTGCACTAGGCTGGTTTAATCTTATTCATCTGAGAGATTTTATTTTGTTCACATTAATGATAAATCCTCTTTATCTCCAGGGTTACCTGTGGAGTACCACACGGATCAGCACCTGGACCAATTCTCTTTACTATATATATGCTCCCAATCAGTAGAAATATTAGACAGCAACAGATTAATTTCCACTGCTATGCTGATGATACTCAGCTACATCTGTCTATGAATCCTGGTGAAGCTAACCCATTACATAGATTATTTCCTTCTGTATCTCTGCTTCTGTCTCCTTGAACCCCTATCAGCCTGTGCAGATGGCCGCTCACACTGAGTCTGGTTCTGCTGGAGGTTTTTTTTACTGTTAAAATTTCCTCTCCATTGTCGCTACAAGCATGCTTAATGTGAAGGATTTCTCTCCAGTCAATGAGTCGATGCAATCAGCTGGTTTTCCTTAGATAGAAAACTTTGAACCAATCTGAGTGTATGATCTGGTTGAATTGGCTCTGTAAAGTGTCTTGAGAGGAATTGTTGTGAATTGGAGCTACACTATATTGCCAAAAGTATTTGCTCACCCATCCAAATTATTGGAATCAGGTGTTCCAATCACTTCCATGGCCACAGGTGTATAAATTCAAGCACCTAGGCATGCAGACTGTTTTTACAAACATTTGTGAAAGAATGGGTCGCTCTCAGGAGCTCAGTGAATTCCAGCGTGGAACTGTGATAGGATGCCACCTGTGCAACAAATCCAGTCGTGAAATTTCCTCGCTCCTAAATATTCCACAGTCAACTGTCAGCTGTATTATAAGAAAATGGAAGTGTTTGGGAACGACAGCAACTCAGCCACGAAGTGGTAGGCCACGTAAACTGACGGAGCGGGGTCAGCGGATGCTGACGCGCATAGTGCGAAGAGGTCGCCAACTTTCTGCAGAGTCAATCACTACAGACCTCCAAACTTCATGTGGCCTTCAGATTAGCTCAAGAACAGTGCGCAGAGAGCTTCATGGAATGGGTTTCCATGGTCGAGCAGCTGCATCCAAGCCATACATCACCAAGTGCAATGCAAAGCGTCGGATGCGGTGGTGTAAAGCACGCCGCCACTGGACTCTAGAGCAGTGGAGACGCGTTCTCTGGAGTGACGAATCGCGCTTCTCCATCTGGCAATCTGATGGACGGGTCTGGGTTTGGCGGTTGCCAGGAGAACGGTACTTGTCTGACTGCATTGTGCCAAGTGTAAAGTTTGGTGGAGGGGGGATTATGGTGTGAGGTTGTTTTTCAGGAGCTGGGCTTGGCCCCTTAGTTCCAGTGAAAGGAACTCTGAATGCTTCAGCATACCAAGACATTTTGGACAATTCCATGCTCCCAACTTTGTGGGAACAGTTTGGAGCTGGCCCCTTCCTCTTCCAACATGACTGTGCACCAGTGCACAAAGCAAGGTCCATAAAGACATGGATGACAGAGTCTGGTGTGGATGAACTTGACTGGCCTGCACAGAGTCCTGACCTCAACCCGATAGAACACCTTTGGGATGAATTAGAGCGGAGACTGAGAGCCAGGCCTTCTCGTCCAACATCAGTGTGCGACCTCACAAATGCGCTTCTGGAAGAATGGTCAAAAATTCCCATAAACACACTCCTAAACCTTGTGGACAGCCTTCCCAGAAGAGTTGAAGCTGTTCTAGCTGCAAAGGGTGGACCGACGTCATATTGAACCCTATGGATTAGGAACGGGATGTCACTTAAGCTCATATGTGAGTCAAGGCAGGTGAGCAAATACTTTTGGCAATATAGTGTATATAGATAAATTCTGCTGAATAGGCGTTAGAAAATAACTTTGCGGCATTGGTTGCCAAATGGAGTATAACGACTGTGTTACAGTCAGATTTAAAAAGACCAACAATATGAAAGTATGGAATCTTTTAAGGATCAAATTAATCATCAGGTGCTTATAGTTGTTTTTTGTGTATTTCAAAAAATACCACATAAGTGATCTGAAGTTTTCTTTATTGAAAATCCTCAGGATAACTTTAGATTCATCCCCTAGGCAGACCTCAGTTTTCTAGTCTCTTAAATGCTAAACACTGTAAATCCAAGCCTGAAAAGTGTTCTTTCCTTCCTCTGTGCATCATATCTGGTTTGAAGCAGGTTGAAATGGACTGAATGGTATCAACATACAGTCACAGCTCAAAATGTCACCATATGTTGCTGTTAGATGGAGCTCCTGTAGACGGGTTTGATGAAGTGATGGCATTTGTAGCCCTGCAGGTGCGTCACTGCGGAGGACTTGTACACCACGGCCATGCTGGCTCTCTGACAGTTATCTAAGTGGTTCTCAGTACAATGAAACGATGGTTTATTAATATAGCAATTCAGTAGCAAGACAAATCAAAGCACAGTAAATAAACAGAACATTTGTGAATAATAGAGAATGATAAAGGAAACTTAAAGGAGTAATAAGCCAGAAATCTGACTTTTTAATGGTAAAAACATGTTGGTCTGTGATCCTGCTGCTTGATTTACATGATCAATGATGTCAAGATTATTCTAGATTAGTAGAGTATAAGAACAAAACGCTGCTTTTTAATTTCTGGTTCTGCATAAGCAGAGTAGACTGGAGCAAGAAGACCTGAGGGCTCTGGACAGGTGATAAACTGACACGTCTAACACACTTTGGTGCTAAGCCTTTCAGTCATTTAGAGACTAACAGCAGTATTTTAAAGTCCGTTCTCTAAGATACAGGGAGCCATTAGAAGGACATTGGAACTGGGCTGACGATTTCCAATTCCTTGTTTCTAGTGAGGATGCAGGCAGCAGCGTTCTGGATCAGCTGCAGCTGTCTGTTTCGGCAGACCTGTGACACAGCTGCATTTATCAATTCTACTAAAGATGAACGAAGCAGGAATTCCTTTATCTAGGTCCTACCAACATCAGTCCTTTAATCCTGCAGATATTACCGTCTTTATGAGCCTCTGAAGGTTCAGGACTGAGTCCATCACGGCACCCAGATTTACAGCCTGAACGCCGTTAATGTACAGCTGTGCGTCGTCTGCATAGTTATAATAACTAATGTCATTGATTATCAAGATAAGAGTTAGAGAGAGCGTGTAGATACAGAGGAGGGGCCGTTCTGGAACGCCATAAATGACTGTTTGGTGGTCGCTGATCCACAGTGAACTTCTGTCTTTAACGTCGCGTTTAAACCGGTCCAGTGCCGTATCGCAGAGGCTGACCCAGTTTTACGAGCGTTCCCATAGAAGGAAGTGATCAACAGGATTGATACAGACGACAATGGACAGCCGGTTTCTGCACTGTGGCGAGTAAGGAAGCAGGACTGGAAGATGTCT